AAATGAAATGTTTGTTTGATGAATATTGACCTTGCTATAAAAGGTTTTGTGCCATTTGCATATCATTACTGATTCAGACAAAATAATGCATTCCAGGCCTTATGCACAGTATATAGTTTACTGTGCCTTGAGCTCATGATTCAGCCAATGCTCCAACTTCATGCAATTCATGGCATATATTACTTTGGCAACAGTTAAAAACTTCATATAAGAAGAAATGATAACAACATAACACAAGTGAAATGTAAATCAATAAATTTTTAAAATAATTGAATAGTTATAATTATTACATAATATTAAACAATTCACTGTTGTAATCGACACCACTCTCATCTTCATCGCCACTCTCATCTTCGTCACTACTTTCATCACTGCTTTCATCATCACTGTCACTACTATCGCAATCAGAGACACTATTATTGCCTTCAGAGTTAGAATCGCTACATTTCTCCAAAAGAACTTCATATCTCCACTTTAGCTTGTTTAAAAGAATAATGTGTCCCTTTCCTAATAAACTTGATTGGTCTAAATCTAGAATGGTATCATTAATCTGAGAAATTTGGTTATTATAATAAGTTTTCATATTATTTAATTCAATTGTTGTGATTTCAATCTCTTCTTCGCACCTTTTTTTGGTAAGGTAGCAATGAACAATTTCTTGCTTGTTTGGCCCATCATGAGTACCTGCTTCATTGGACCACAACTGTGATGATGGGTTAAGTACATCTGACAGTAGTACCTGAGACTCGCCAATTTTTGGAACTTCCAAATTATAATCAGCTGTTATACCTCTTATTGTTTTGGTTATGGACGAAATTTGTTTGGATAACTTCTTAGCAATTTTATGTCCATCTAAATCAGAATGATATATTGCATTGATATTCAAAGTATTACCAGCATATCTTGATTTCTGGAACAAAAGAAAATGCCTTTTAACAGATGCTGACCACAACTTCTTTTTCAAATCTTCACAGCAATTTCTGACATAATTCTGCAAATGAGTGCAATATTTTTCATCGGTCTTTGTCCACCGCTTGCTAATGCTGTGCTGTAGCTCAATTTTTTTTAGTTGATCATTAATCCTACAAAATGTATGTTAAAGCATAAAGTACTAAAATCTGGAGTATACTGAGAGAGCTTAGCATCTGCTCTTGAAGCTTTCATTGTGTTTGTACACATTTTAACTTCCTGCAATTCATAGTGCAGTTGAAGAAGCATAAAATATTTATCTTCCCATGTCTCTGAAAAAACTCAATTAATATGATATAATTTTGGGAAAAATGTACGCGGTAAATTTGATGAAATTTGTACTTGAATGGTATTGGATTCTTCAACCATTCTAATAATATCAGAATCTATTAAGTTACCTATAAAAATCAAATAATGCAAACAAAATAATACATTATACATACCACTAGTACAGAGAGCTGAAAGGCTTTGTTCTGCCTTTATTTTGCCATCAATAGCCCTCTTCAATCGCTTCATAGTATTTATATCTAATATAAATTCTTAAAAATTTCAAATAAAAATGTTTGACTTACACAAATTAGCTCTCTTTTTGTAAGAATAATATGACAAGGCTGACGAAAGAACATCAATGCGATGAAATGGCTTCATTTCCTTCGTTATTCGGGAAAATCTTCTTAAGAAAGACCACAGTCTTTCCATCACCTCTCCATCAGATAGCCCAATATTATTTGTCCTTATAGGTGCAAATTTCAGCTACAAAATGTTAAAATACTATCATACTGTGTGTACATATGAAATATTATACCTGGCACTCTGTTTTATGCCCATATGCATGAAAAACTGGTATTGCCAAACTAAGACGGCTGTCATATACTTCCCATTTCTTCTATTAAATAAGAATAATGTGAAAGTGCAGTTATTAACAAGTACTTACCATAAGGAACTTCTGTAATGTGCAAGCAACATCATACATCATAGTTACATGTACATCACTGGGATAATGATGAAGGATTTTCTCTATTATGAACGAAGGATAGACCAGCCTAAATATTAGACATAATCATAATGATAATAGAAGTAGAGAATGTACCGTTCACCATGTTTAAGATTTAAAAACATTAATGGAATTTCATGTCGACAAGCACATCCTAACACACCAGTTTCATCAAGTGCATGAAACCTTGATGCTGATCGCATGGGATTTCCTGCCATAAAAGAACTGCAGTCCTATATAAAATGAATATTAATGTACAAAGACATTTACTATTAGAATCCTACATTTGCTTCAATTATTGTTTGTGAATTTTGAGCTACATATAGATCAACTTCATTCTGGCTACAAAAAAATCGATTACCAGATAAAGGCTCAGAATGACTCTTTCCAGAGCTCTTTTTACGTGGCAAACCAAACAGGGCATCCATTGAAATAATCACATTACCTTCTGCCTGTTAATTTTTTTGAATTTAAAAATAATATAATTTTCTTTCATCAGATACACTAACTTTAGGACAAGCGGGACAAACGTTTCCTTCATCAAATTGAGCATTGAGAAAAGTCAAATGTCTTAACTGCTCTTTCATATATCTATTATAGTTCATATTACTATTACAATATGTGTAGATACCTATATTCCTCAAAGGCATCAATCAAGCATTTGTATACATCCCTTCTCTATCAGTACTATAATGTTATTATACACATAATTATATTATACCTTCTTAACAATATATGGACATTTGTAATATAATGCTTCACAAAGGCCTTTAATAGATACCTGACACTCAAGGAGAAGAGCTTCACCCCAATCAAGTAGGTTAAAACAAAAAGCATAGCGTGGATTGGTAGGAGATGCTGGCCACAAATGAGCTCTGACAAGAGAAATTGCTAGTGGCTCACACTTACAAGTCATAAAGTGCACATTGTGTTCAATTCCTGTAAAATTAAAATTCAGTAATTTCATTGCAGTACATGTACTCTACCATCTTCATCTAAGCAACGAATGATAATTTCTTCCTTTGACTCACAAGGATGTGGCACCAAAACATTAATCTTAATTCCTCCAATTTCCACTGGTCTCCAGCAACTATCATCCTAATAATTATAATTGAACGTACACATGTCATTAAATGTAACTTTCAACATTCAAATAACCTTCCAGACTGGAGTATGAAAAATATTTCTTTTTGAATGGCAATGAAACCAGCATTCTTTACAGTAGAAAGCACGAGATCCACAACGCTGACACCACATTTCTGCTTCAGAAGAACATTCCATGCAGGGTTGATCATCCATCACTAATGATTCAATGCATGCGTTTCTTAGTTGACACCTCATATTTTCCCAAGCAGATGCAGCATGTCTTTCCTTAACATCATATAAACTCTCAAAATGAGCATCATCATCATCATCAGTTGGGATAGGTAGACCCACCGTTTCTTCCTCAATCTTATTAGCTTTTCTTAATGGTTCATAGGTAGTGGTTGTTCTTGGAACCTTAGACATATTACTTGACAGTGCACTAGATGTCCTTTTTCTCACCCTTAGTAATGGCAACTTGATGTTAATAGACATAATCTAGATGTAATGAAAAACTAAGTGTAGGCTATCACTTACTTACCAGAAAATTCAAGAGGAACACTGCAAATGGATGAATCAGTCAGTTGTAGCTCAAGATCATGACTGTAGCTACACCCTTCTTTAGTTAATTGCTAGTTATAAATTTTAGGTTTCCAATTATGCATGATAGAGTGGTAGGAAAACGTTTCCTGTTTTTCTATTACATTTGCTTCAAAAGGTTTCCGGATCAGGTGAATAATTGACCTCCCATTCACCATACCCACTTCCATCAACAATCAATGCTTAAGAAATATAAATACACTTAACTGCTTGGAAATGATTAGTACCAACATGCTTCGAATACAAAGCAGGTGTGTTATTATCACAAGAAATGCCATTTAAAGTTTGGGTTCCATATCTAGCCCAGCCAACAAAAGTTGGAGTTAGTGAATATGAATATATGGTTGTACCTAATATTGCAGTTAGTGTAATAATCTCTGTGTCAGTGGCCCACACAATTTTTATACATTTTGGACTTATTTAAGTAATCATATATGCTTGAATATCTGGTTGCACTTAATGTACCATTAAACAATTCTTCAAAGTTTGGCATATTACTAACTATTGCTTTATGTAATTCGTAATGCTGAGACATGGACCCAGTAATGAGATATGAAAGGGCATAAAATAAACAGCCACTTCACCAGGGACATCAAGAGTACTATTAGGAACTCTTTCATCTGACAATGGTGTTGTTGGACTACCAGGTAAGATTCTAGCAGCTGTTACAAACTTAAAGTTTAAAATCTCACACCACCTTTTTGAATTTCTTCATTACCAGGGTAGTAAACATAATCCCATTGTCTCCTTCTGACAATATCTGGGTTGGGAGGCTCTTCATAAGTAAAGATGATATCTTTTTTTGGATTACTTTTCTTTAATTTAATGCTTGAGAGTATTATAGATACAATCAGACTACTATTACAATGGTCATTTTTTACAACACACTTGGTTTTATTATCTTTTGCTTTACATTTAATTTTGAGAGTTTTATAGATACAATGAGACTACTACAACTATCATCATCTTTGACATTAAATTTGGTTTTTAGGTCTTTCAAATTAATTGAAACAATTAATTTATCATCTTTTTTTGAGCAAGGCAATACCAAAGCAGTATTGTCAGTACTACTGTCTATATCAACTTTTCTTTTTTGGGGGCAAGGCTTATTTAAAGCATTATTGTCATATGCTATACTCTTCTTAGGGCAATTAGACTTTTGTAAATCAGTACTCTTACGTTTATTGCTACTAACGTTACTAGTACTTTGTACATGACTTACTGACACCTTGGCATTCTTACTACAAGGTTCACCATCATTAATTATACCAGTCACTTCACTTTTTTCCTTTACTTTTCTTGATTTGAGGTAAGTCATTTTGAAATTTACTTCTGAGGCTGTTAATTTTGTTAATGCACAGATTACTAACTTTAAGAGAGAGAAGATCAAATGATAAGAAATGTAATCCATTTAATGTACATACACGAGAGAATGCAACATATGTCATACCATTCCCAAAAACAGCAGTCGATAAATCAATAATGGCTGTATCTAGTGAGAGGCCCTGACATTTATGAAAAGTAATAGCAAAGAAAAGAATAAGGGGAAACTGTTTCCTATGTATATAGAAATTCTTAGATAGCATAAATCTAGATGTAACCCTTTCTACGTCACAAGGTACATCAATATGATCAAATTTAATTGATATACGTGTAGCATAAATACCCATTACTGTACCAATCGCACCATTAACTAATCCTACAGTCACATCAATGTTAAGTCTTAGCATTACTCTACAGCTTACTACTAAAGACAATACAGTTTCTAAACCAGCTGTTTTGCTTGGTTGATCTTTCAGTTTCTCTAATTTTCTTCTTGCTTTTTGTCAAATTTTGATGTGCTGCTACTTTCATCAACAACATCAACACCTGCTTATTCTATTTTCTCAGTTTCTAGTCCTGACATTAACTGATTGATTTTTTGGCAGGAGTCTACCTTAGAAAATAGGCAAATTGGAGGATTTGTTCCTTTACTTTCCAATTCCTTACATTTTTCTTGTATTGAAACCTTAAAGAAACAAGTATCTTAAAGAAAGTTTCGTCTCCTTTTCCTCGCTCATTGATTGTTCATCAAATTTTACTA